GCTGAAAAACACAATCACTACTTAGCAGTCAGATGTCCGTATGCACAAAGGCACAGATCCCTAAACAAGACCATATCTTCAGATGAAACTTTTTTTGTGGAAGCATTTTTTAAATTTGAAGTAGCACCTCACCTCACATACACCACGCTATGTACGAGAATCTGCAAAAGACACTGGCACAAGTGGAATGCGAAAAACGTGACATTAATTTTTAAGTAAATAAAATGGGCGATATATTGCGTCACCAAAAATGACTGAGGTCACGTACATATATTGCGCGATAAGTCGATATATTGATTATGGCGACAGGCCTACCGCACCCCTTCAGAGTTTTGCTTCAACCCTAATCAAACACACCTGAACAAGCTAATCAAGGTCTGAAGGGTTACTAGGAAGCTACAGGCAGGGGAGTTTTTATTAGGGTTGGAGCTGAGCTCTGCCGGACTGCGGCTCTCTAGGACCGGAGTTCGTCACCCCTGTGATATATAAATGAGCAGTACCTCATCTTCATTGTTGACCTTTTGGTAGGTCAGGTTGGTAACTGTGATTTCATTATTGGAGACCTTCCTGATCTCATGCTCAGGTCTCTTGTTTGGTTTTCCCGTGTAGAGAAGATCTCGAAGAGTTTCATTGTAGATCTCCACAAAGCTGGCAGTGAAGGTGTACTAAAAATACCAACACCTGAACAAGCTAATCAAGGTCTGAAGGGTTACTAGGAAGCTACAGGCAGGTGAGTTTTCATTTGGGTTGGAGCTGAACTCTGCAGGGCTGCGGCTCTCCAGGACCGGAGTCCGCCACCACTGATATAGGCTATTACATTGTACATATTACATCTAGCATTTTGTGATAACACTGAAAACATTCACAATTTACATTACTACTTCTTTGGAACAAATTAGATAAGTCAGAAAAAAAATATACAAAAGCTTTCTCTGGGACAATTTCAAAAGAGACACTTATTTACTCCTAAAGGGTGCATGTTATTGTAACTTGTTTGTTAGTATTGCTTTGTTTCTGTGCAGACAAATGTGTAACTTGATCATTCACAGTGTAAATGCCTTTTACAAACGTTCCATCCTTTTATCGGTTTACTAAATAATTAATTACATATAATTTCTTAATTTATCTTTGTAAAGAAACCTAAAAATATATAATATATATATTAATTATTAAATCATTGATTAACAAGACAAAGTCTGTTACTGTCACATTCAATGTTAATATGCTTCCAAAACTGACAAAGCAGAAAATAATCAACACAAGGCAGTTGCTGATTGTTGACTTTAGTAAATAATAATAAAACATAAAAACATGACATTGTGAAAAAAATGTGGGCAGGTGCCAAGTCCTGCTGGAAAATGAAATCAGCATCTCCATAAAGCTTGTCAGCAGAAGGAAGCATGAAGTGCTCTAAAATTTCCTGGAAGATGGCTGCGTTGACTGTGGACTTCAGAAAACACAGTGGACCAA